TCGTCACCGTCCCTTTCATCTCCTCCACGCTGAGACTTGGGTTAATCCTCATGATGCAACTGTTGACCGAGCCTCAGAGTCTGAGTCACATCACATCATTAATGATGCATTTATGTTTTTGTCTAAAAAAAAACCTCTGCAGTCTTTCTGTGGATTCTGGCCGAGTAGGAGATCATGAAATGCTAACAAGTGCCTTTGAAGCGGTCGGTGGTATTTGATGTGCCTTGTGGAGTAAAGCATATGTGTATTTGATGTGGCCAGCTGTCTGGATGTGTAAATCCACAGCTCTCCTCACATCTCCAGCCTTTGTTGTGTGTCCATCTGACTCTCACAAGGACGGACACACACTTGGGGGTGAGAGCTCCTCTCAAATTGATATAAAGAACGTCAGGGTTCTCGTGCAATCTCTTGTTACGTACAGTGATGAAATGCCTGAAGATTTCTACGGCCATGTTTAAAATCTTACAGTAAATATGTATGATATACCCCTTACCAACTATAAAGTCTGTTGGAGAGATGGAGAAGGAAAGGACTTTTAACCAAACTTGATCAAATACTGACTTGAAGTTCTTGATACAACAACTTTTATTTTATTTCCTGAACAATAAAGAGACATAAATGATATAAATAACAGTCAATTTTTTCCCCTTAGTTTCCATGCACAGAAGTTGAAGTATACTAGAAAATAGTTATATTTAATGAAATATAATTTTACAAAACATCGTGAACATGGGGTGTTTGTGCAAATTTTCAAAATTCATCAATCCCATAACGGGCCAGTTTTGGCTCACGGGCCTTATGTTTGACACCTCTGTTTTAAATGAACCTGAGGTATAAATGTGCAGTTGTTTGCCTCTGTGTACTGTTCGGCCTGTGTGGACTGGACAACTGTGTGGACTGGACAACTGTGTGGACTGGACAACTGTCTAAGGTGTCGTCTAAGTATAGGCAGTCATTTTTAGAACTTTTGTAGGTATTTTTTTTTTTTTTTTACTTTAGCTGCCGAGTTCTACACAGATTCTTTTATAGCTGTTTCTGTATTCTTGTCCTTTCTTCCCTTTATCTCTCTGCCTCTGAATAATTATGAGGAACCACTGCTGGGCTTTAATCTTTGTAAAGGACCAATATTATACTTGTCTTTTCTCCTGGCTTCATTTTTTCATCACACACAGATTATTCATAGAGTTTTTTTCCACAGATGAGCTTTAACCTGATGATTCTCTGTTCTTCTTTTGGCATATTTTATGGGGTTTTTTTAAATAATCTTTTAATAATCTTTCTATCTACTAAAACTGGTTTGGCTAAAGAGAAGCATTTGGCTCAGGAGCCATAGTTTGTAGACCCCTGACCCAGGTGGACCAGGTGCAATGAAATCCATAACAGTCAGCTCTGATGGCAGGAGAAAAAGTGGTGATGAGTCTTGAGATGTTAAAGGGATTTGACTAATTTACAGTTCAACTACGTTAGCAATCAATTCAGTGTTTTTCTTGTTTTGATGAACCTTCCTTTTACCTCACATTCATTTTTGTTTTAGCAGCAGAGTCAGTTTCTGAATCGGAGCGGCATCGTTTTTCTGCCTGTATAACTACGGCTGCTGATGCATCATAAAGACGTTTTTTAAGCGTTTCGATTGTGAGAGCAAAGTGATTTTTTATGTATTTGCTTTGCAAACAATCACGCAGCCAAACCAATCATTGGCATCACCTCAGTACCGCTGTGAGTGATGAATGTTTAAAACAACCCTGCTCACTGAGCTAGAGAGTGGAGTGCCATAAAACATATGTGACACGCTGCTAACGCAGTTGAACAGTGAGGCCGCAGGTGAGGATTCTCAAGGTCAGCGGCTCAAACGTCCTGTTCCGGTGATGGATGCGACCACTGGATAGAATCGGCAGTTTATACTTACAAAAATATCAAATTCAAGGAGTTTAAAAATCTGTGCTGAAAAATATCTTTTGCAATGTACAGTAAGCTTAATAATAATTACCGTACTTTTTTAACAGTATTAATCAACAATTAGTTTAAAAAAATAAATAAAACTCTTGCCCCCATTAGTTTAAAAAAATAAATAAAACTCTGAGCTACGGCCACTAATAAACGTATGATAATAGATTGATGGATAATAAATATCCTTTGGATTTTTTTTTATGCTAAAACAGCTGCATTTTTATGGTGAATTCTAAAACTTTTGTTGAAGAAAACACAACATTTCTCATAGGGTAAATGTTTGAATACACCACCAAAGATTGTTGTTTCCATTCAGATTATTTGCAAAGCAAACAATAATATTGTGTCCTATCACGTTGAAGGTAGTCTATAGATACCCACTGAAAAGAGAAGAAATCGTGATGTGAGAACAAAAACAAACAGCTCAGTAGAAACAGATCAGTCGGCCTCACATTCTCAACATAGTTGTTGTAACACAGGATCGTGAACCTGCCAGTTGGCTGCAAATCAGTGCAAGGGAAACTACTCCAGGAAACCTTTTCTCATTAGAAGTGTAAGTGTTTCCTCCAGTGATTGTTGTGTTGCTGGCTGTGTTATTTTTTTGTGCCCCATTATTTTTTTTCAGTGTGTGTTTAATGATGTGTGTGAATTGAATGACTTGGAGGGAAGCATTGACCTTCAACCACATCATGTTATCAGGTGTTAGTGGGTGGGCTTGGACCCGAGGCTCAGTTGGGGGGGGGGCACCGTCGGTGATACTGTAGCTGTGTATTGATCACAGTGACACCTGGTGCATGACATTGGCTGAATGTCAGCGGGAGATTAACACCGTATGTATGTAGAAGAGGTGGTCGGAAGCTGCACATTCAATCCTGGACATGTCTGTGCGGCACCGCCCACATGGTCAGAAGACACACCATCACACACCATCACACACACGTACACACGTACTTGTGGGATGAATATGGTGCTGTTGTGCATGCCTGTGAAGTTGAGGAGTTTCCATGCAGGAGTTAAATAGTGAAAAATCACTTCAGTCTTTGTGATATTTAACATAGATTTGAAGTATTTTCTCAGTCAGGATGGAAAAAAACATGTGATGCAATAATGTAGTTGGGGGGGGGGTGTTTGTCTCCTGCACAGTGACTCTCATACGTCGTCAGGCAGGTTGTATCTGTTCCATATGGATGACTCTTGTATATGAGGACGTATATGTGTAGTGTATGTGCATCAGAATGGTAATGTAAGCAGCTCTCCGTGCATCAGCAGTTGCTAAAGGCCACTGATAAAAAAAAAGTCAGTTTTGTCCAGAATTTTTTTTTTCAGTAATATGAATGTAAAGGTGTTCATAAAAAGACATGATGGATATGTTTCACAAACTGCATGGTTACATTTTTCAAATAATTCATTTTGTGCATTAGTTTGTGCCAAGTCAAATGGCCTGAAGAATCGCAGGAAGTCAGAGTATTTTTGGGTTTTCTTGTGCCAAGTCAAATGGCCTGAAGAATTGCAGGAAGTCAGAGTATTTTTGGGTTGTTTTTTTTTTTGGCTTTTTTGTATCTTCACGACAGGTTCTTATTTGTGTAAAAACCAACCTCAGTCGGTCGTAGGATGAATATTTGATGCAGGATTTCAACCAAGCCTCTGTCTGTTGATGTGTACCATCAGTATTAAAGTGAATGTTGTTGTTTTGCTGCTAGGTGTAGGGCTACAGCTGTCTGCGTTATCAGGCTGTAGGCAGAAATAGAGGAGAAAAGACAGAAGCACACAGGGAGGTCTGACAGGAGGAGATGGGATATATGCTAACGCCGTGGTTAAAAAGGGAAAAGGATTTATTTTTACCTTTTGTAAAGACTGATGTCGTTCACTGGGCTCCACCTCCCTGGCCTCTTCCCTGCTTGGCTTTCATGATTCCTTTTCCTCTCTCCTCTTTCTATTTACCTCCGTCTTTGGCCCAGGCTTCTCTCCATCCCCAGGGACTTACTTTTTCATTTCTTCAGGGCTACGCCTCCTTCACCGTAATCTGGCTCACGTCTTTAAGACTTGCCTCTTTTTTTTCCTAGCATACATATGTGGGAATAAGTGCGTGATCGTATCTGCCATTTCTTCACTTTTACAGACGTTATCTGCTGTAAAGTACGTTTACACTGGCGGTAAGAGAACGTTGCTGTTCGTGCAGCTAATCTGCTGTCACTTCTCCCAGCATGCACTTCATTACTTTATCATAGCTCCACCTTGTGCCATCAGCTATTACAGTGACACACGTTATGGTGGGTCCAAGTCTGCATTTGACCACGTGCTAATAAGCTGAGGAACTTTATGATGTGTGGAGTAGAGTAGAAGCAGAGGTGGATATTGGAAAGTGCTTTGGTTTATAGAATATACATTCATCAGTGATAATGTATGGTTTTATTATGTGTATTTCTGAGCAATATACTCTATATCCATATCATTTAACACTTATATTTTAATATACCATGTAAACATGTGTTTGTGGAGGCTTCAACTTCAGGTCAGACGCCCGCTTGTGTTGGACCAGTGTCCAGTGTCCAGGGCAGGAAGTGAGTCTACGATTGACAAGCTGACTGACACAATGGATGTCAAATTGAATGCAAGGGGAACGTAAACGTAGATAAAATATTATTGAGGACAACGACTTCACCAGATTTTTGAAAGTCAACTTTTGATGCAAGTGACTGTCAAAATGCACAGAGAAGATGTGATTGAAGTCCACTTTAACTCACAAAAGCTTTTGTCAAAATGCACAGAGAAGATGTGATTACTCACAAAGTGAGTTATAGTTTCCCATATTTTTAATTCTATCGTTTAGATGATGATCATAATTAATCACGATCAATCTACAGATACCGATGATTAATCAGATTCAAATATTTAGAAAACAACTCTGACAGGTATAAAAGTCAGATGAATAGATGCCCTCACCCCATAGTAGGTGAAAACATTACCCTCTCACATACAGCACTGAACACACACACCCACACACTCTCACTTTCTTTTGCTATTTGTCAGCCTCCCTCTCTGTATATTTCATCATGACCAGGCAGAGGCACAGTGAACACAGCAAACCAGGGCTTTTCATGTCTCCAACCCTGGCTGTCATGGAGAAGGGTTAAGGGTTTGTTTGTTTGTTTGTTTGTTTTTTACCTCTTTTTTTGACTGACTGAAGTGTTTCAGTTACCCCTGCAAAAAAAAGCAATGACAAAAATCTTTGTAGTTCACATGAAAACAGAAGCTGGCTGCAAAGTGTTTTTTTTTTTTTTTCCAAAAGCTGGATCAGGTTAAAATGCAGCCAAGTCTTTGAGGAAGCAGTTTAAAGTTTGTCATCCTTCTCTGTTTTTTAAATACGATATTCAGCACACACTCCCTGGAGTGTCAGTGAACTGATAAGTCACTCGCTCTGAAAGAAAATAAGCTGTTTATTACCTTTGCAACAGTCTACAACTGTGAACTCAGTTGTTTCTGTGACCTTCTCAACAAATATGTACTGTATTTGACATTTAAATCTTACTTCCGTGCAGTTAATAATGGGCTAAATTGCCTAATGCTCTTGTCACTTAATTCTGAAGGCTTTGTTTACATAAACATAGACAATTAAATTCCAATTTATTTTTGCTCATAAATGAGACCATTATGTTAATTCCAAGAGAGTCCTATTTGACATGGTACAAATAAACAAATGCTCAAATCATTTAGGTTTTTAATATAATGCCACACACACATGCATATATATATATATGTATATACATATATATATATATTATAAGGTTGAACTTTATTGATTCTGTGTTGGGGAAATTGGGGAAAGTGTCACAATTCAAACCCAGGTCTCCTGCATCACAGAAGCATTGCCTCTGAGCTAACATGCTACGATGTAATACCTATAATTACCACACAAATAAAAACAATTGGATGCGTAGATGTAGACACAATCTTGTCTGAAAGCAAACAGGAAAACTGTGGTTTATTTTTTAGATGTGTCAAAAAACTAATTTGGCAAATTCTCTCCCTCGACACATTCCATCTTAGATTACAGCGCTAAACCTCACACACACACACACACACACACACACACAGCCGAGCTGTTCGAACAAATGCATTTTGTCTCATCATGTTTCCAATTACATGTTGCTCATGAAGGCATCACCAGACAACAGCCTGTATAAACCAGTCTCATCAGAACAAGTCATCTTGAAGGTTAAGTCAAAGTTGTGACCAAGAAAGTTGACTTTGAAGATTTTTTCCCCTTTATCATAAATAAGTTTTTTTTACTATTTTTTTTCTTCCTGCTCAAATCTCACACCACCAATCACAGTGTGTGTTTATTTTCAGTAAACACTGATGGTTGGTGTTCAAAGTGCTATTTTTGTCTCCTTTCATCATCATCACTCCTTGTCCTCCAGAAGTTACCTGGAATAAGAAAGTGATCAAAAACAGTGACTCGGTAAATTAACATATTAATGATCCACAGAGAGCAGCAGCAGATGGCTCTGTGTTGTTTTTTTTCTCTCTTTTCTTCATGAGGTCATGTTGTTCTGTTTTCTTTGTCTCCACAGCAAAGAAGACATGTGCAACCACAGAGTTTGCCTGCAAGAACGGACAGTGTGTCCCTGCTAGGTGGCGCTGCGACGGGGAGGCAGAGTGCCCAGATGGTTCGGACGAGGCTGATGCAATCTGCAGTAAGTTACAGTCCAGACACACAGGCGGAAAAACAACACATTTACATGTGCAACGAAGGTTGTTAGCATTAGGAATAAAGGCCTGTCGTAAATAAATGACAATCCTAATGTAGCCTGTTCTTTAGATCAGGACTGATGCTAATACATCACATCATGTAAAGAACGCATTTCAATGCATCATGTTGCGTCATGCCCTTTCTTGTCAAACTGTGAAAGAAAACAGTGTCACAGTCCTTCAGGGTTCTATGTTCACACTGCAGGTCTGTTCATGTTGTAGCTGTATTCTTGCGGCTGATCTTGTCTCTCAGTAGATTAGAAAAAATGCAAAGAAAAAGTAACTCAGACTGACCTCAGTTGGTCACAACATTTAAAGAGTTGAGTCCAAAGTTTGTAAGTTAAAGGTCATCTCTCCCCAAAATTCAACCCCCTCCCTGAAAACAAGACCACAGTTAAACTATTAGTCCATCACTATGATACCACTCCACATTCAGGCCTCCAACCTTGTGTTTCACCACATCTCCACTCCCCCCACACTGCGGTACTATCAGACACAGCACTTCCATATTTATATATATAAAGAAAAAAACTTAGTATGGAAGAGTGCAGTCCAGAGAGTGTCCTTAAATATCATAAATTAAAAGTTAAAGAGCTCTAAAAAGTTTGAGGAATCACATTAGAAAATAAAAGAAATGAGAACTGAGTGAACACATCTACAGTCTCAGTTATAGTTTATTAAAATTGCACTACACTATGAGAAAATAGACAGTTGTATGTTAGGCTGGGCTAGTCTGGGCTGAGCTAGTCCTCACTTTATCCTATGAGTTGTAATATACCCTATGTTTCTATATTTTACTGGTAAATACTGTATATTCAGCAAGGGGAAAGGAAAGGGAAAAAAAAGAAAATCAAAAGAGAGGGTAACATCCCTGCTGTGGACTGCAGTGTTGTGCAACATATCTTTCATTTAAATGACAAAAATTAAGGATAGTTTTATTGTTATTTTTAGAGATCTACATTGAAAGAATCGGTTTATGGAGATGACAGAGTCAACCAAGTCTTTGGGAATAAAGATGTTTTTTTATCATTGGTGAGGTGAAAAACTGTGTATTTGAAATTAATGGAAAAAAATTGACTCCATAAATGTTTTTCTGCATTGATTTATTTTCGTAATCTATCATAACCACCATTTTTCTCCTCAGAGATCAGATCTGCCACAGGGGGTGCTATCTCATTTTTGCAATTAGATTTTTAGGATGATTTGCAAAGATTCAATCAAAGAGCACTTTGAAGTTTTTCAAAGTAATAAATGTAGTTTGGTAAAAGCCAAGGACACGGTTGGATCTGCCCATGTGTACGTGTCCATGTCCAGCATGAGTGTGTGTGTGTGTGTGTGTACGAAACAAAAATCGATGCCTGTATTTAGTATTCATCGCAAGGTGAATCTGTAAGTCATTTCATCAGATTAGTGAACTTGGTAAAGTCTCATTACATTTAATCAAGGTCAGATGCTGCGAGAGCTTCCCTGATGTTCTCACTTACATTGATCCAGAGGAAAAGTGTGCAAGTCAAGGGATGTGTGTGTGTGTGTGTGTGTGTTGGTTCGTGCGCACGTCTTAATCACAGTGTTCTGACAAAAATGTCAGTTTATATTTGGCTTCAAGGAGGACAGTGATTAAAAATGAAGCAGGAGGTTCAGTGGAGAATACTGTGTCAATACTCACACAAAGACCATAAAGTAAACAGTAGTATATGGCCACGTGCACTTCATTACAGGTACACCTGTTCAATTTCTAGTCAATGCAAACGTCTCATCACCCATCATCAATCAAGCGGCGGCCTCTCCGTGCATTTCAATCATCTAGACATGCTGAAGAGGAAGAAGGACACGGTCAGTACTGGAATGTTGAAAAGAAGGATATTCAGATTACAGGCACGGGCGTGGTAATCAGTTCCAAATAGACTTTTTTGGATTTTTTGGCCCTACCACCTTAAAAGTACAAAGTCCAAGGTACAAAAATTTAAATCATCATCAATCAAGTTTTTTTTGGGGGGGACTGAAAATGTTGATCAATCCAAATTGCAACATACTTTGTGAAACTTTTGGCCAAAGGAGTTTTGAAGAAGCTGTCTGGTTTTTCCAACTCTTTGTACAATGTGTGATTGCAAATTCTGTTTATTACTACATAAAAGCTGAAGTTCAGCCATCCGTCAGCTTATAAGACAGGGGGCGCTGGTCGAATGTTATTGAGCTGTGGCTATAGTTCAGCTGGTTTAATGAACCTCTCACATGTTCTGCTTACACTGCTGGGCTTTCATTAGCCTACAGTTTTCATTAAGGAATGTGTGTGACATTTTTATTATATTAAATTATTGATTTTTAGGTTTTTATAAGAAGAGACAAAAAAAAAAATTCCTTTCATCCTGACAGATCATGTCTGTTCCTGTATGACCACAGTACGCTCAGGCTCCCTCGGGTACTTCCTAGTTGCACAAATACTATTGGCAGAAATACCTTCTTTTTACCATTCAGCATGATTATGGTTGGTGAAAACATTAAAGGTTAAGTAGGAATGAGACCAGGGGACAGTTTTCTTCTTCTTCAAATTAAGTTTGCAGAAGCACTGGACTAGAATGTTCTCTCACTTGTGGTGAGTTGGTTTTGGATCTGGAACAGCAGTCTGACGTGTGCTAATGATGAACTCTGTAAAGGGTTAACAAGCTGATTATTTCCTACAGATCAAGCTTCATTGATGTTTTCTTCCTCCATGTCTTCCCTCGACTGTCCTGTCCATGCGTATGTTAGAGGGTCAAACCTCTGCTGTTCATTTCGCCCCTTATTCTTATCCCATTATCTGGTCCATACATGTGTTTTTGTTCATTTCTCTCTTTTATCCCTCATTTATATTTCCATTGGTTTCATCTCCATGCCATTTGTGGTCTCCATTTTCCTGATTGTAAAGTTAAAGTTGCGCCTTTGATTGCATTGATTTTCCTGGGGAGGGAATCGATGGGCCGATCCTTGAGACCTCTGGTCAACTGCTGATTAACTATGGACCCCCGGTGGCGACTCTGTATCAACACACACACACACACACGCGCCCACCCACTCGGGCTCTTCTCCGTCTGTAATTACAAGTCTGAAAATGAATCTGGGTCTTGAGGGAGTTGTGTGGAGAAATTGCTCAATCAGATGGATGAGCGGTGGCTGATGAGTGTGTATGTGCGTCTGCACACCGTGTTCTGCACCAATCTGAAGTGCCGACGTCTTCTCTCAGGAAAGGATGTGGTAGGAAAAATAATCATGTAGGAAGCGTGGGAAGTTATTTTTAATAGATGAGGGACAGCGGCCAACGCTGCCAACATGTGAGCAGTGATATTTCTGACAACCTTGTTTTCCACAAGGCTGCTTCCTCTAGAGATGAACAAATATTTACATTATTTGGATGTAGCCTTCAGTGGGTTGTTATGTTAGAAAGTCAAATCCACATTCTCAGCTTCCTGTCAGTAGCCTGGATGTCTGTACGACTTGTGTTTGTACAGTAGGTGTTGTAACAGCCATAAAGCATGACACCACTTCACTGAAGGAAGGAGGAAGGAAAGTGAACTTCTTGTCATTGTGACACAGCTCACCACTGCACACAACCTAATGTGACCTCTGCTTTTAACCCATCACCAAAGTGAACAGTGGGCAGCGCCCGGGGAGCAGTGTGTGGTAACTTGGCTGGTGGTGGACTCGAACTTGAAACCTTTTTAAGCAATGATACTAATTGGCAGTTAAACACACACAAAACCACATTTTTCATATTTTACTGGGAGACAGATATAAGTTCAGATGTTGTTTTTCTTTAAAAGAAATTTATTTAAAATTTGGGATCAATCAGTTACATTTTGTTTAACATGCTACTCAGTAACTGACAGGCAAATCTCACTGCATCGGCTGATCGTGACTTATGGTTGGAGAGAGTCAATTTAATTGATGGTGGGCATCTCTTAGCTCCCCTTTAGCACAAGGGTGAATCTATTGCTGGGACACAGTGAGACAAAATATTTTAATTACAATATTTTCTTTTTTGGCCGGCTACAGTATAAAACTTTACTTATTTGTAGTATAATTTTATTTGTTCAGTGAGAATAGAAGATTGGAATTACACTAAATGCAATGGTCAATCATAGAGAACTGCTGAGGTGAAGACTTTCAGAGGAGGATGATCAGGGTTTTTTTTCTCTCCATCCTAGTTATTCTGTGCTTCTTGCCTGGTTGTCCTTGTCTTTGTGAAAAGGGACAGATGTCATGTCAGCAGATAACAGCACGGGGGCGGCAGGTTATGTTAGCTCATCACATCGGAATATGAAGAGAAAGGATCAACTCGGTTAGATTTTTCAGACGACCTCAATTTCATGGTTGAAGCCGCGACAGCACCAAGTGAAATTTCCCAGGTGGTCTCTCTCTCTCGCTCTCTCTTTCTCTCTCTCTCTCTCTCACTCTCCCTCTACCACTGTCGCTCCTCTTTTTTCTCTGTCCTTTGCTCTTTTCGTCCTCTCAAACTTGGCTGACTCCACTGCTAAGAGACGGTGAAGTAACTAACACTCTCTTATTCACTCACACACACACACACACACAGACGTTAACACACCTCATGAAACCGAGGTGAGAGTCTTGTTCAAATCGTCAAATGTTTACACTTTTACTGTGTGTTTGAACCTGAAGTCTGACTCAGGAATAACTGCAGAGACCAGAGACAGTCAGATTAATGTCACCTCTCCTCCTCCAGCCCACGCCGGCGTCTTCCTCTCTGTTCTGCCCTCTTGTCCACATTGTCTTCCCATCATTTCAGCCTGTCATGTGCATTGTTCTGCTTAGCTTGCTGATTCCTACGGCATCTCATTAAGCACACATGTCTTTGCTGTGATTTATACGAGTAATACATTCAAGTGTATTGATCTCTTGGGTCAAAAACAGAACACTCTAATCACCATATACACAACAGGGAAATACATTC